CGCTGGGTAGGCAGTGTTTGGAAAGTCACCACATCCTCTGCCAGACGTAAGAGGATGAACATCACCAGTTCTGTCTGTGTCTCCTGATGTCCCAAGAAGAAACATATCCAATGAGCCCTTACATGACATCAGACATGGTGCAGCTCAGTAACAAACCAAAAACACTACAGCTCATGGTCTGGGGAGCAGCCAGACAGGAGTTACTAGGATAGTTTAAATCTCTACTGACAAGCCCCACCCCCCGGGAAAAACAGGACAAATAGCACTGACAGGTGTGCTTCATACCCCTTGTTTGGAGAGCGTGTCCAACTCCTTCAGCATATCGGGCCAGTGCTGAGGCCATTCACGCTTGATCATCTCCACCACAATGCGGGACAGAACATCCTTAATGTGGCTTTCCTCCTCCAAAATATTCTGGGTTCCCTGTGAGACAGAGAACCAGTCACATAAGAAGAGAGCCAACTGCCCCCAGAATATTCACTAGTCAGACCATGAAAGAATCCTGGTAGTTGACACACTGCACAAAAAAACACCCTCACAAATAGATCCTCATCCCAGCTGCCTCACTTGAAACAGCTTTCCTGTGGTACTTGGCAGAACCAATTTATGCAGACCATTACTCCCAGGAGACAAAGTGAGGAAGGGGAGAAAAGATCAACTCAGAAGCCTTCTCTTGTGCCATAGTGAGAGGAGGTCTTGAACGCAATAGTAAGCTTTCTGGGTTTAATCCACCAGCCACCATTGTATGGTCCTACAGTGTCAACCAAAAGGAACCCCCTTTAAGAGTCAAGAACTTGGATTAGGTACTTCCTCTGGCTTTCATGCCAAGAGCAGCAGAAATTCTCTCATCCCAGAGCTGCATTTCAGAACAGGGAGCACCTTAGTAAAGTGCAGTTTCTTTCCACCCCACTCTATTGTTCATACACAGAAGCAGTCATCTCTCCTTTACTAACCCTTCCAACAAAGACCTGTAACAACACTTTATAAATATGAAGCAGGGCTACATTTAGATCCCTGTGTGCGAGGCGTTTGGTTTATCCTAGAGGTGAGAAGAGACTAAGGCACGGGGAGAAACAGCATCTCCTGCAGGGCCACATAGCAAGTAAACGGTAAAGCCAGAATGGTAAAGACTCTTTTGTGCTCTAAACCAAAACCAACCCTTTTGCCTCGCTTCCATTAGCCACCTCCAAAAAGAGGAAGAGCCCCCATGGTGGTTTGGCCTGGAGGCAGCCAGTACTTACATTGGAGATGAGCCCCATGACATTGTTCTTCAAATAAACTTTCTCAAGGCGAGGCATGTTGTTCCAGCGGAACCTGCCCAACAACACATATAGCGGATACCAAGTGAACACATTCATAGAAACCAACTTGTTTCTTAGGATATAAATATGACAATTGGAACAGTATCAGAAAATATGGATACGAGCTGCTAAGATGCAACCACTACACCTGTCTCATTCTGTAGCGATACAACTGTGGCAAAACCACTCCAAAATCACTCTGCTTCACTCAGGATCCAAGTTAGGGCAATTTAGCTCACCTGCATCACTGCAGTATGGGTCAGCAATCTATGGCTTGTGGTTCAGATTTGGCCTACAGGTGTGGGGCTTCACAGTACGGAGAAGCGGCAGCAACCAGGTTCTGGTGCCTGCCCACTTGCCTCTGACCCAAGCTGGATCATTTCAGCCCACAGCCTGAATAGGTTGCCAGCTGCTATGCTGCAGGATTCTTCAGGCTTAACAATTACAGTGTACCAGCTGCTGTGCACTCCAGAGCAGACACACCCCACTGCCTCTTCTAAAGCAGCTAAAACATGTGTGTGTCCTTAACAAATTTTCAGCCCTTTGCCCAAGCTAGGTAGGCTGAGGCTGTACAGTTCACTGCTCTGCCAGCACCCCATTCCTTACTGAAAAAAAACAAGCCACATCATGGGTTAGAGTTAAAATTACCCAGTTAATGCATTCATATGCTTGCTGCCAGCACAGTTCAGGGAGGGTGCATCTGCATGTGCACTTTACTGCAGAGCAGACTAATTAGCTGCACAGTAAAGCATCACCACCTACATATGCGCCAGTATTGTGGCAGAGTAAACTAATTAACTGTGGTACAGTCAGGGACAGTACAATCTTACAGTGAGATCATTTACTGCACTGAAACGCACATGTAGAAAGTGACTGGGTGGGGGCCAGACTCCTGCTTAGCACTTACCCACACAGCTCCGCAGGGTCAGCAGAGTTGCACCCCAGCCCCAGCCAGCCCCTCTGCTGCTACTCCTGTGACCCCTTCCAGCCCAGGCCTGCTCCACCCTGACTTGAATTGCTGCCATCCCAGGTGCATGTGCAGATGCTGTGCCTGGGAGAAGTTTACTTTGACTCAAACAGCTCTGAAGTTTATTGCTTTGCCTTAATTTCATGTGTAGATGCACCCTGAGCGAGCAGGATTTACTGGTAATGACAGGACATGCAGTTTTGAGTTTATAGAGATAACACCCTGCCAATTCCTAACATGGTCTGCCTGAAATCATAGTTTCATAGTAGGTAGGGTCGGAAGGGACCTGAGCAGATCATCAAGTCCGACCCCCTGCCATGGGCAGGAATGTGCTTTATAAACATCAGTGAAATAACCTCCATATTCCTCCTGAACAGTATTTACTACTAACCCTCTTTTACAAATGGGGAGAGAAACACAGGGAGGGACAGTGATTTGCTCCCTTATGTCACACAGCAGTGGTGTTGGAGCTAAGACCCAGAACCCCCAAACCCACAGTCTCCTGCTGTCACCAACAGATTTCTGGAATTATTAAATGGGCAGCTATGTTCTTTTCCTCTGCAAAGTCCCCAACATTTGAGAGGAGAACCCCTTACTTGACCACGTGCTCCAAGATCTGAAGACCAAAGTGCCTGACAATGGCCGTCTGCGTTTTCTCCGCCAGCTTTAGCCCACATGGGACGCAGATGGGACACTTCTCCTTAAACTCCTCACAGAACTGGGAAGGAGCAAGAAAAACATTGAGTATAAAATTACCAAGCATTAACCCAGAGGAGGAAGGGAAAAGTGAAACAGGCAAATTTCAAGCAAAAAGTCCCCATGCCTTCAAAATTCCCTACTCTGTATATAGGGAGGGAGGTGAGGGGAATTTTCCTAGAGTAGCAGGGGGAGGCTGAACCACCCACACCTGAGGGTGCTAAGCTATCCCCTACTGCAGCAGACTCAAGGCCCCCTTGGAAAATGCCAACTTTTAGTTTTCACTCATTTTTTAACTACGTAAAAATATTAGAGCAGTTCTTCTGCTGCAAAGAACTCAAAAAGATCCCAACAGGGCAGTGTGGTTTTAACACCATGGATTCTGGTTTCAAATCTCTGGGTTTACCTTGTGAATTGAGTTTGCACACGTCAGCGCTGACACTGCGTGGCGCTCTGCAGCATCCTGAAAAGGACCTCGAGGGACCTGGGATGCGGCAGCACCCTGGTTGAGAATCACTGCCCTACTGTTTTACACCCTTCCCAGGCATGTTCTGAGACCAAGTGAGCCTTCCTGAGCCTGCAGGCAGTTTCAGGTGACTTGACCAGAGCTTGGTGCCTACCAACCCCCAAAGCAAGACTCTCTGACACTGGCAGACACCTTCTCCGCCCATTGCGGGCCATGAAGCTGCCGTGCCACCGACTGCCAGCACGTGGGGAGAGGGGCTGCGGCAGGGATGGCAGCAGGGGCTGTACACCTCCTGCTAGGGGGCCCGTTTCCCTGGTGCCCAACGCGGCTGGACAAACAGGCCCAGCTTCAGGGGGCAAAGTATGGCAGGGAGTGTGCGCCTCACCTGTCCCTTGAGGGGGGAGGGGGCCCTACATGGGGCTGCAGCACACCCAGGGCTGGGTGTGCAGGTGGCTGGGGGGCAGGGGGAGAGGGCCAGAGCTGCCACCCCTGCTGCCGTGAGCCCTATGGGAAGGGGGTGGGGTCAGGACCAGAACCAAGGAGGGACTGAGTCAGGACAGAGGCAAGCTGGGGTTGGGGCCAGAAAAGCAAGGGGGAAAGCAGAACCAAGGCAAAGTGGGGGCGGGGCCAGAGCGCAGGCAAGGTGTGGGCGGGGCCAGAAAGAGGGGCGGGGCCAGAGCGCAGGCAAGGTGTGGGCGGGGCCAGAAACCCATGCGAGTCAGGGCCCTGCTCAGGCTGGTGGTTCTTCCCCTCCCCTGCGCCCGCAAGGGACGTAGGGCCGCCGCCGCCCGCGTGTCTGTCCCTCGCCCAGCGCGGCCGAACCCCCGCCCTC